TTCATCGTGAATTAAATCACGCCAGTAATTTGCGATCTTAAATCAATAATTACTTTTTCATCACTTTCTTATTACATTTGTACTTTTTGGTTTGATTATTGTATTTAGATATTACTGTTTAATAACGACGATAGAAATATGAAACACGAAAAAAGATGATAAAAAATTTGTTTATTTTAATTAAATTCTTTCTGGATTTATCAGAAAAAAAATGTTGAAAAATTATTAAATTCGAAGGTTTTATGAAACATTGCATATGAAATATATTTATGCATTCATATGATCGATGCATGCTGCCGCGTTTGTTTTAAAAGTAATCGAGTACAGTTTATTATTATATATAGTTGCGAATAATTTAGCTATTATTTTTTTGTAGCCATGATAAAACATATCTCGATGATTTCGTAGTTAAATCAAAACGTATGTAAAATAAATATATTATTGTTACGCTAAGCATTATATATTATTACTATAATAAAAATATCGTGAAAAAAGGTTGATGAAATGCATTGACGTTAGCGGCAGGATTATGTAATTTGATGATTCTACATGAGATCTATTTTTTACCACGCGCACGATGCAATGTCAGCGCGACCGACCCGTCCGTCGATTGTAACACGGTTTTTACAAACAAAATAAATAGTCTTACTTTGTAAAACCGTCAACGGCTCTAGGAATTAATAATTACGCGGATACACGGCTCATTACTCACGGTTGCGCCGCCAGCAGTGGTTTTACGCGAACACCGCATTTCACGCAATTAATTAGGCGTCATTACGATTGGGTCTTTGAATTATCAATTTGCTTGATCAGGAGGAAAATAGACAAGCGAAGGAAAAATGAGAAAACGAATAGCGCTCAGAATAGCGCAGCTAAACCGCACATAGATTGTAAAAAAAAAACACTCACAATGGTTTTTTATCTGCGCGGTTTGAAACGTAAAGGAGTAGCCAGCGCTTGAGCCGACTCTCGCATTTATTGTCGATAACTTGTCAATCGTATCCCAAGAGAACCGTTGACATGCTGCGCATTATGCTCTGATAGTCTGCACATTGTACGTTCCTCTCTTGTTGTCGCCGCTTCGGCTGAACGCATCTTCTGCAAGTAACTTCGAAGAGAAAGCGACTAACGTTTCCACTAAAGTCCAAATGAACCACTGCGGTTCGTTTCCAGGTCCGATATAAATCTTTTTATTGATAGTTATACGATCTGTTTGTTCACGAGAATGATTGATCCCATATTAATGAATATATTTTTAAAGATAGTTGGCACCAGGTGTATGTTAACTGTTGTATGATTGAGCGTGATGCAATTATTAATGATTAGTTGCATGGCTGTTGAAATTTGAATTTTATAGAATCGGGACAGAATCTTGATAAATAGCTTAGGGACGTTTTTTGTATAACATTTCATTTATTACAATATGATAAGTCTGATGACAGAGAAATTCGTAGTTTCAAACTAATTTTGACACGATTTTCTTTTCGATGAATCTTTCGATGAAACGTCGTGATAATTTTTCTCGATTACGTTTTAAGCTGTATTTTAAAAGGATATGAAGATAAAAATGATGGATGAAGATAGATTAAGATTGATATTACATTAAAGAGCTAATTTAGAAATTAACTTGAATTCTATATAATATCACATCCAAAATGATTAAATATAATGAATTATATTTACATTGAACTAAATAAATATTTTCTATTCATTGTATAAATAACAATCACGTTGAACGAATTTCCGTGTTACAAACAGAACAAAAGCAGTGGCAATAGTCAATCACTTTTTAACGTTTATATATTCCATTTCTAGAGACGCTTGTATATAAAGTCCATCCGGGACCGATCATTGCTGTTCTCGTGGAAATTCGCTTTTGCGCGTTGTAACGCCAGACGAGCGATCGTGTCGCAGACTCGTAAACCGGCTCGTCTATCGATATTTCACTCGTGCCGAACGGGAGTCGCGTTCACGGTTAAAATCGTCCTGTTGCCGCAGCAGTGTTGCCCAACTCTCATGCATAGAGTCATGATGGGTTTAAGCGATTGCTTATTGCTTGGCTGGTATAACCAGTCGTCATGGACTGACGCACTGCTTCTCGCTCGTTTGTTATCTGCATTAATACGTGCGTACATACACGCACGGCTGTATACGCATGTATACACGCTATTATAGGAACTGTGTGTCTTGAATCGTGTACTGGAGTATCATGGACTCTGATACCGTAGTATACATCGGTCTCGATCATCGTTATTGAATTTTAACTATCTGTCCCATGACAGATATACCAAACTCGGCTTGGTTAATTTTTTTCGAGCTTATATCTGACAGATTATTTGAGATTTTTTGCTGTAAGATTGATCGCGAACCGTCTGATTTTTTCGGAAAACCTAGCTTTTTTACGTTCTCTTATGAATAAATCAAGATAGCATGTTTCTTTTTCCAAAATACTACATTATATTAGAAGGCTAATGCAGTTGTAAAGCGAACATACGTGATCATTCAATGCTCTATTTATATACTAAGAAAAAAATTTTCTTAATTCCAAAAAATATTTAGTTCGATTACGAGCAACTAAATATTTTAAGTAGTTTAACTAAACATTAGTTAAATTAATTAATTCTTGATTAAAAAATTTTAAAGGTCGACATGAATGCATTATACCTTTTTTAGTGCAACTTAATAATTGTTGAAACAACTAAGGTTTAGTTAACTAACTAACATGTTTAGTTGCTCGTATCGGACTAAATATTTTTTGGGATTAACAAATTTTTTTTCTCCGTATATCATTTACGAAAGGGTCAAAAACATTTTGAGAGTCATACATTCAATGCAATTCTTTTAAAATATCTGCACTTATAATAACGTAACGTCATAATCAATAAAGAAATTATTAATATATTAAGAACTACATTGATGTATAGTACTATAAATTTTTGAATGGCTAGGGTAATATCAAAGAAGATATTAAATATCAATCCGGATATAAAAACAATGATTGATCTGTCAAGGTTATTTGCGTGAGCTGGTATTCATAATTTGATGATTTTGCAACGCTCATATTTTTTTGCAATTGATTAATGTAAATTGAATAATGCAATGCACTTGTAGAGTCGACATGTTGTATTATATAATATACAAAATAAAAAAATATATAATTTAGCTATAATTATAAACCGGTTGTTGATTATTCAAGCTTACACATCCGTAACATCGAATATATATCGAATAACATCGAAAATACTCGCAATTCGTAACACGAGCATTTAGGCAAGTCGAATGGGCATAGGCCTGAGGCACACAAATTTGAAGAGTACATTTTCGAAGTGAATGTCGATATGCTCGCTTTCGCGTTAAGAAATAAGATTGATCCATTATGTTATTAAATACTACTTAAATTTTCCCTGTCGTAATCCGTCTTAGTTGACAAAATATTTGGTTTATTGTAATAAAAGTCCATACTGATTTTCCCTTGGTTCGGTTTTTTTTAAATAAAAATTTATTTATACAACTTGTTTTTTTCTAAATTTAGATACAAATTTACATATTTGCAATATCTTTAACAAAGAATTATACAACTAATATACTATCATCATTGTGCTAATTAATGTCGTAGACATTAAAAATGATAAATAGTAATCACAACATTGAAATATTCCAGACTAGTAAAAAAGAGAAACAAAATAATTAAGTATAGTTAGAGTTGTGAAAACTGCAGAATCGGCCTTTACGTATTTACACGAGATTTTAAGTATATCTAAAAAAATAAAAATGTTAATGCTCATGCTACTTTCTTGTTTTCTCTTGATTGTGTGAGTTCTTAAAGACTTTTTCTAAAAAATCTTTCTGAAAAAGATAAATCCAGAAAAAAATTCAATTTTGCAATATGTAAATCTATATATGTGATATTTATTTTACAAAATATAAATCAGTAAATCAAAGAAACTTAACGTTTTTCTTTTGTTAAGACCGATTCACGAAATGTAACATCGTATTATGCTATGAGTTTTGAATAGAGAAGTTAACATTATCTATAATAATAATTCCGGGCAAAAATATTAAACAGAGACAATAGTTGCAGGAGATTTGCTTATTATGTCACAATGTACAACGGAATTGTACAAACGGTATAATATTGCGAGAATGTTCAAATATGAAAACTTAGACATATTGTCATATGCAATCTCTGAATAATTTTTCTTGCTCCGAGCAAGAAAATTAGTTTTTTTACGTTTGTTTATAAATGCAATATACATGTATATTGTACATGTATATATCACATAGAGATTATTTATCCTGTATACATTTATTTTTGTACGCATTATTAGTATTGCTTTTTAGAGGATTTTTTCCCGGAACATTTGATAAATAATATTTAATAATAATAATGATGATATTTTTTAATAATGATAATAACGATAAATATCGTGTAATAACAATAATACTAATGGTAATTAATAATTGTATTAATATCTTTTTACACGTCTTCCCGTACCATCAATAGTAATGAAAATATTTCAAATCATATTAGGTGAAATATGTACATATACTTCTGGGTATGTGTGCGTGTTTGTGTGTGTATCTGTATGTCTTGACTGTATGATATATTGATATAAATATACTAAAGCTTTTAATTACTGGCCAATATATCTCACTCTGACTTACTACATGTAAAATATAATCTTTATTTTTATCTTGTCAACAGAAATGTAGCGTTCCTTATTAATTTCTCAGTTATTTGTACTAACAATGAAACTAAATATAAATATTTGTCTATTTGTTTGAAACGACATCAATTGAGAATGACTGAATCTGCCTACAATTTTTGAATGGATATCTTTTTGTAGCTACACCAGTGATAATATTTTCGAAATATTAATTAATTAATTTGATTTTTTCTGTATTAAAAGAACGACATCTATTGAAAACGGCCGTCCAATATGTACCTATATGTACATATATTGTATATATCAGTTAGTCTAAAATAAATTAAACCAATATAAATTGCGTCCATTTAATCCGAGTACTATTACATATATGTACAAAATGAACACATTTCCATGATGGTACTACCTATGACCGGTGGTCAAAATGACCAGCATTTTCTTTCTCTTCGTCAACATCACTGTTGTATTTCCATCGCGAAAAGAGTTCTATATACATCACGTCTACGGTACGTTATTCATTTCTATTCACTTTATCAGTGGAATTGTAACTATTATGAATATATTGTCCATCGTTTCTCTCGAAATTTTTTCGAGTTCGTTTCTCTAGAAACCACGCAGAGCATTTTCGCGTGTTTCTTTGGAGACAAAATTCCGAAAATTGAAATCGGTCCAATCGACTCATGAGCCTCAAAAACAATTCGCCGTCAGAGAGGTACCCGCGGGAAGCGTCAAATCGAGCGGATATGCCGTGTTTTCTTCCTTGGGTGATCTGTCGTTCTTTTCGTCCTGTTCTTCCTCTTTCTCTTCTTTTTCCGGCGATTCTCTGGATCGCGACGGACTGCTACTTGCTCGCATGCTGAGGTCGATTGGTTCATCGCCGGCAGGATTACTACGATTAGAATCAACCAGAAGTAGATTGTTGTAGTTCCATGGAGATGACAACGAGTGTGCTCCCGACGCGAACATCCCTGATACTCCCCCTGGGAGTAACAGAGAATTTTGACCTGTGAGCATGAGCATGCCATTGATCGATACTCTGGGTTTGGACGATTCTTGCTCGTTTGTTCTCGTGGGAGTGAATGGCGATCGACTTGAACTGCTCCTGGACTGTACATCACGACGATGGTCATCGTCATTGGACTCGCTTTCGGATCCATCGACATTTCTTGTGTTTCTCGATATTGATTCCGCCGGCATAGGTGATCGATAAGAATCCGACGAGTAAAGCGATGTCCCCTGTGTGAATATCGTGGGAGTTTCCGCGGATGGGCTCTGTTGCCGTGGTGAACGATTGTCGAGCGGCGATGATGAGACTTCCCTCGATATGGGCGGGGGTGTTGTCATGGATGACAATTGTGGCTGATGTTCCCTCATATACAAATTCTGCAGATAGAGTTGTTGGTATAAAGACACCTCGTCCGGATGAGGCGATCCATTCGATCTCACCATCATTGCGGGTGGAGGTCCAGTATGGAACGGATACTGGATCATCGGATTTTCCTGACTGGTCGACGCGCCATTGTCTGTCTCGTTGCTGCCGTCACTTTGCGGTGGATAACTTAAACGGAAGGACGTAGCGATATTGGAAGGACGGAACGACGCTATCTCGTTCGTACTTTGATTACATCGCCTCATCTGCTCCGAAAAATACGTGATCTTGAACCAATTTGAACGCCGTCCGTAGCGTGAGCACGACTTGGACATACCGACGTCTAGGCACTTCTTTAATCGGCAAGCTTTGCAAGCCGTCCGATTCCTCTTGTTAATTATGCAATTGCCGCCGTTCTTACACGCTGTCACGTTAGTGGGGTTGTTATACGTGCGACCGAAGAATGACTGTAACAGAAGATTATAGTAATTCTATTAATATTATTCGGATTATAACATATTTAGATAATATCAGAGCTGCGTTTCTATTTTAAAAATTTGAAACTAATATCCCGAAAAATTTTGCAAAAAGAAATTACAAATTTAGTGCTTCAATAGCGTTATTATCGACTTCATAACCATTCAAGGCGCTTTGGCACTTGATACTTCCAGATTTATGCCACTTAAAATCACAGGTGAGATTAAGGAACAGAACATTTCGCTGACGCATTGGTAGAAATTAATGCGTGTTGCTCGTTAAATTGATCTACAAATGTACTTATCGCCGCACCGGATACTTAACAACTTTGCGGTTACGGCCGTTGGACGATCATGAATTTTCGCGCGATGGCTCTCGACCCAACCTTTCGACCCTCGACATGTCCAGAGAATGGCGGAGAACCGCGGTGCGGCGCGCGGCTCATCTATATAAATTAATCGGATTATCGAGACAAACGAAGCATTATCGCGATAGAAGCCCGCGCCGTACTTTCGTACCGGATATTACCAGATACGTCCACGAGAGAGAAACCTCCATACGACCGAACCATATAAAGGGTCGATGGTCGGTGCCCGTGTGTAAGCCACGCGCGTTTCTACCGGATTAAACGTCAGGGTTTAATGTTACGCGCGTCACGTGAATTAGCATGCCTGTACCTAGAAGAGAGGCGCGCGCGAGAAAGAAAGAGAAGGGCAGAGTGACGAAGAGCACGCAAGAGAACGAGCAAAGGGTGAAGGGAGCGGAAGGAGATGGAGAAAGAAAGCGAAAAGACGAGGAGGAGAAGGAGGAGGAGGAGGAGGAGGAGATAGAGTATATACGTGGCGGGGCCGCTCGTAAAGTTAAACGCCTGTCGGCCGACGATAAAACTGCCTCAAGAAGACCCGTTGCTTCGAAAGGTGCGCGCGGTCTCGCTCGCACGGTCATCGAGTACTAATTTACGACGCAGCTTTGCAGTCTTTTGCCGCTCGCACCCTCCGGAAATTTCGAGAGATGCCACAATGCGAGCGCGCAACGTCCGCGGTCGATACGTCGGTTGTATATCGTTCGATTAGGCTTCCGTATTCAGGGGAATTTTCTGATCGATCTAAGAATATACCGTTCTCAAGATATACTTTGTTTCTAAAAAAAAAAGAAAGCAAATAAAACAATGAATTACATTAATTAATTTAGTAAAAATTTGCGTTCACGAAATGAGTCGTATTGCAAATTAAGTTAATATCAATATTAAATTCGAAAAAATACATTTACCTGCCCAATTTACTTGATCGAAATAATTATATATATTTATAATATATTTTACCAAAGTCAATGATGTCCCAACATATATAAATAGATTTAGTTTTTAGCCATTAGTATCAAACTGATTCTTCTTTAAGATTGAGCACGATCGTGCCTTGTTAAAGTGTAGTTATCGCATATGTTACGAGATCACAGGAGGCAATCTCGCGTATCTATCCGCGTTCCCACGCTTCTCCCGTTATTACGATATTGCGTCACGATCGATTTAGCGCATAACGCACGCGTGTTACGGAACAAGATGCGGAAGGTAAAATGTAAAAAAATTTCGTGTCGTATCGTCGTAGAGGCTGCCGAAGGACACGGATTCTGCGCTCCACCTGACTGAAGAGCCACGTGGGCGGGCTGGTAACGGGCCGAAATCTTGAAAGTTCGCGCGTAGCGGTACACATCTCGTTCGGGAGTAACGAATCGTTCGCTAAAGTGGTCACAGTGGCCAAATTCACGGCCCACGACTCGGTCGAGTTCGGTAGTACTTGATGACTCGCTGGACTTCCGGATGATCATCGCAACGATGTCATCGTTGTGAGTCATCCAGAGTAACATGACGATTACTCGAGTGCAGAAACTTGTAGAGAAACTTGTTCATTATATATACGAAGTATCAATAATTCCAAGGATTAATGGATCACACGTTTTTTCGCTCGGTTACACTCAGAAATCACCATATAAATGTCATAATTATCGGCATCGTGTAAATCAATGAGTCCAAGCCCGTGATTGCGATCATTCTTTCAGAAAGCCGTATTTACCGATTTCGAATTTTAAATCAAATCACATTGTTTTCTAGAGTAACTATAGCAATTACATAGTTAAATCCATTGATTATGCTACATCAGGGAAAGATCGTGATTCGATGGATAGAAATCGTAGATCGACAAACGACAGGTGACGGCTCATAATAAGCCCCGCGAAACGCGCATACGTCCGAAATGCGCATTGAACGAGGCGTTAAACGATAATCTTCTGCCGGCAATCTTGAATTGTGACGATCCGAATGTGTTGGAAATAGCACTCCACGTACACCAGATGATCTTTAGTCGTCGCCACGACTGAAAGAGATTACGATGCCGTTCTGTGCGCAGAACTCCAATATATGTGTATGTGCGCCATCAGTACCGACGCCAAATGGCGCTTCCGTTTCTCAGACGATTTATCGGTCATATAGGAACATATCCTTCGCATATATTTAATTCTTTCCGGCCATTAGAATCGCGCAATGTGCCGAGTGCAAATTTAAACATTCCAAAATTAGATCAACCTTCTGCGTATGTTTCTTTTCCATTTATGATAATGGTATGATGAGCAAAATACATCTTCCTCATATATATTATTTATTGCAGTAAGATTTGTCGCATTCGCGACTGAATAGATTTGATAATTTTTAATTCCAAGGTATAGTTCGCCTTAAAAAAAAGTTCACACTCGATCGGGCCTAAACGTGATAAAAATCGCACGCGAGAGACGTGTACGTTTCGCAACGTGACGGTATTCGGTATGATTTACGTATCGATTTACGTGTATCACGGACATTGCATGTTCGATCGAATCGCTCAAAGTCGTCCATGCGATGTAATTGATCCGGTGTCGCGCTTCTGCCATATCGGGTTACGGATTGCCTCGGGACTGGGAAAAGTGGCGACGTTCTTAAAGCGCCGCGGATGACTTTGTCTTTCGCGGATAGCGATTGCGTCGCCGGATCCTGGTCCAGTCGTCCATGTGTTCACTCGGTCAGCTGCGTACGGAGAGTCGGACAATTCTCGATGAAGGGGGACAACGGGATATTCGCAGGATTGCGTAACGCCGTGCATGCGAGCGCGTGTTCACTCGGTTTTTCAAGTTTTTGCACAATTCTTCGCCCGGTCATTGGACGTGCACGCATACGGGGCCCGACACCAGGAACAGCGGGCGACGACGAGCCGTAATACGACGGCAACAGCAACAACGGCGGCAGCGGTAAAACCAGCTCTCGTCCGCGTGTAGAACGCATAGCGGCTGAAACACGCGCCATTTACGGGCGCGTGCGACAAATCCGTCAAGAGAAGCTAGGATTATCTCAAATCAGCCGGTATGCCCGGAATCTTGGATCGATTTGTAACGCCATAAAGCGACGTGGAGAAATCAGCATCGTCCGTGATCGTGAAAAGAAATGTAAAATGGCTTGTAGAAAGCAAAGGCATCTTTGAATCCAAATCGACCCGATCGATATTTTAGTAGTAAATTATTTTTGTAAATAGTTGTTTATATAAAAGTAACAAGTACGCGATGCCAAAAATTACATTGTAATAAATATTAGAAACGGTTAAGAGAGCAATCTTGTTAGCGTTCGTAAAACGGAGAGAATTGAAATGCGTAAAGCACAGGGAGGCAGAAATGTTGTTTTCTCGGCGCAGTGATAAAAATGTCATCGGTATGACATTCGGCAAGTCGATCAGCGGCGTGATGTTAATTTATCTCAAGGGAGAACCGCGATAGTTTCTCGTGCGTGAGGAGAATCGATCGAAACTTCGAATTTTTTATTACCAAATGGGGAACGCGAATGGCCCGAATCGGCGCGATTTGAACGGATCGACGTTCCAGAGATTCGGTTTTCCACAAAATCGACCCAGAAAGTCGATCTTGTGGGTCTTCATCGCGATTCTATCATCTTGCCAATTCTGCAAATGACTTACGTGCGTGTTTAGCACAACCATTATTCACACGACATCATGGATTTCTTCGCGACGAGCTAAGTAAGACGTCAAATATATAATTTTCGCTTTAACAACGCGACGAGTTGTAGATCGATACATTGTCGCAATTGACAACGAGGAAATATACTTACTCCAAGCTGCATTAATTTTCATTGAACTATTCGCGACCTACTAAGAAATTTATTTGCTGTCGTATCTAAAGAGCTTTGACAGTTTTGTTTTTATGTTTGCTTGAGTTATATATTGTACAATTCGGTAACAATTAAAATTATTAATTTTAATTTTACTTACATTATCGTAATTTCGAAGAAAGTAATAGAATATCGCTATTTTATGATTTTATGAAAACATCAAGATTTCACATTATTAAAGTTTCATATTCGTATACATGGTATATAGAGGATCAATATTCTGTGTTGATGTCGAATATCGTGTATGTCAGCATTCAGCAAGACATTGAATATCTCTGATGAATATCGTTAGATTAAGGATTTTATGACTTCAATAATATTTGAGCAATTTCAGTTTTACTATGGCAATTTTATAAAATGTGTATTAGTTTCTCTTGTCATATAAAATATCGTCAAACAAACATTTAGTCCCACGCTATGCTGCGTGAAAACGTAACGTGACGCCGAGCGCGGCAATAGTCACGCTATTTCCTAAAGGGACGATTATTCTCCTATGAACGTGAACGACCCGCGGGAGAAAAAGACGAAAATTACTTTTGGAGAAAGAAATGAAGGCTTATGGCGTTATTGAATTTCTCATAAACGTTTTACGAGAAAGTCCGTGGCACATATCGCACGGGTTTCGGCGTGCAGCATCCGTCGTGCACGAATCTGAGGTCACAGCACGAACGCGCGATATGGGGAGGAAGGGGGGGGAAGGTTAGATGCGTGGTTATATGCGCGGCGATGGGGGACAGAGAGGGAGGATGTGCGGAGAGGAATCAGAGAGTCGAGACAGTCGACACGGCC